GTGACTACATCCCTGCCAAGTTTCGTAATCACAGGTTGTATTGCCGCGGAGAAAATGGGACAGGGGCCACCAGAGGTGCGTGGGGCCACCAGACGTGGGGCCACCAGACGTTTGGCACGATGGGGTCACCACAGGTGTGTAAGAATACGGCATGGGAAATGTTCAATTTCTATCTTGTGTCTTTGTAAGTAGATTTATGGGCGTTTTATCGTTATGGTTTAGCCATAAAACGCTACTTATAGGTCACGTGACCTGTGACGTCACACTGCCAGGGGGATTGGTTACCATCAGCGTTGGCATACAAAGACTTTTGTAGTGCAATAACGTCAAAAAAAGGTTTATTTCAAAAACTGGCGATAATGTTATCTTAGCAAGTCACGTGATATGTGACGTCATACACCCAAAATCGTTGGGGTGACTGACAGGGCACGTGACTACATCCCTGCCAAGTTTCGTAATCACANATCGTTGGGGTGACTGACAGGGCACGTGACTACATCCCTGCCAAGTTTCGTAATCACATGTTGTATTGCCGCGGAGAAAATGGGACAGGGGCCACAAGAGGTGTGGGGCCACGGTGGAACGTGCCAAGCTTACTTGGTACAGTGAGCTCCAAGTACGGGTCAGAACAAGCGAGGTAGTATGTGAATACAGGCAAATTTCATGGCWTAAAGACGCGAAGACTAATCTCTAATGCGACTTTCTTGGTTCTATAGGGATGCGAGAGAAGGGTCATGACTAAAATTTGGCGCTGGAAAGAAAATTCGAAGACGTACGAGGTTTCAAAGACCCGTGATGGTTCGCTTTTGGGACTCGAGTTTCCAACCTTCTCTTTAATATTTCTTACTGGTGGGAGAAAAATTCTTAAAACGGGCTAACTTCAAAAAATGACCACGCAGAGCGAAAGAAGTGATATTTCTCAATGATTGGGTAAAATTTCGAGGCTCATTATTTCACGTTTCAATGATTTTATTGAAGTTTTTGATGAATCTCCATACATTTCCTTATAACAGGACACCACAGAAACCAAGCATGGGCTACCTGTGTTTGTACCAACAAAATCCTTGGCAAGTTTTCTTTCTTATTCAAATTTTCAATTTCTCGTTAGAATAGCTTCCTTATTTTGAAATTTGACTGGTCTTTAAACTTGTTTTGTGAAAATCGAGTTTTAAACGCGAAGAAAAAATACTATGACTAAATAATTGTAAAGATAAGGAAATCACTATGGCAACCGGTTTGTTGATGAGGTACTCGAGCGACTAAAACTTGGAATGTCCACATGGTTTTCCTGCTGACTTTAGATAAAAATAACTTTTTGAAAAGGATAAGGATAAAGACTATAAAAATTGCCTTAAATAATACATAGGAAATGGTAAATCTCCAACAAGTTCACAAGATAGTGATTTACATTATGCAGACCAGAAGATCAAGGTAATGAAGGAAGAAAACAAGGACTCTATTAAGCCAAAGGTTACAGTGAAGACAGAACAGGTTCAGCCTTCAAGAAAAGAATTCGATTTCAAAACGGAACCGGTTGCACGAGATCCGAACGGCCCAGGAGAAAATGGACAAGCTGTCAGCATCAAGGAGAACGAGAAGAAGGAAGAGACTGAAGGATATAACCAGCATGCTTTCAATGAGCTTGCGAGTAGGAAAATTTCTTTGCATCGATCTATCCAAGATACTAGAGAACCAGGTTAAGTAATTTTTCTTCCTGTGCCTATAGACTCAATATCTAGTGTTTTCTTGAAATTCAAAAAAAAAAATTTTTTGAAAAATCCTAAAAAAAAAGTAATTTTGAAACTAATAACAATAATAATAATAAACTTTATTACAGTCTCAAAAACTTCTAGCTTGGCACACGTGCTTTGCTAATCGGGGAGACCCAGCTAAATATACTATCTATATACAATTAAGAATATAAAAGGAATATACTATATATATAAAATTAGGAATACATGGGGATTAAAAAGGGCCCAGTATAGCCAGAGGAAACAGGTCACATCTTAGCTTTCATCCTTCAGAGGGGATGGGAGCAAGGACACCTGTGTCCTCGGGGGAAGAAGAAAAAAAAAAGGGTAATAACAACTGTACACGATTCTTAGTCTACATATTAAGATTGCAAATATTGCAATTCTTGCAATTATTTAAAATAACTTCAATATTTGTATCCTTAATAGTGTTTTTGAAACTAGTTAACGTTGGCTTTGATCTAATTTTTGGAACAAGCTTAGACCATAAATGAGGCCCGAAATATCTCAGGCTTTTCCTGCCACAGTGTACAGTTCTAAACCGATGAATGTCAAAGTCATTATTTCTTAAGTTATATCTGTTAGTTTGCTTTACTCTCTTGAAGATATCTTGGACGGAACTCGGGACCAGACCATTCTTTACCTTGTACATCAAAGTGGCGATTGATTGAAGTCTCTTGTTAACAATGATGTTAATTTTGCTCTTCTCAGCAAATCCTCATAGGGAGCCTTCCAGTCACAATAGACAATTCTTAAACCTCTTTCATTCATTCTTTCCAGTTTGCGTTGATCAGACTTCTTACAAAAATGCCAAACTGTACAGCAATAGTTAAAGTGTGGAAGTACGAAGGATTCATAGATTTGTAACTTAGCTTGTATAGGAATAATGTTCCTTAATCTGGATAACACACCAATCTTGCAACTTGTTTTTCACACATATTGTTTTTATGTGTTCCGAGAAATTCAAGTTGTCATCTAGTACCACGCCCAAGAGATTGATATTTTTCGATTGTTTTACAGAGTAACCGTCGTCGATACGAACTTGCAAATCGACGTCTGAGTCAAATCTGGATAGGACCATACAATGATATTTAGAGAGGTTCCCTTGTAGATGATTCTCTGTATACCATCTGGCTGTTAGTTCCCCATCAGTTTCCAAAGTATCAATGACATTGGCAACATCTGAATCATGTGTGTAGTTGATGGTCGTCTGCATATGCTGATAGTTTAGAGTTAATGGCTTCATAAAACAAGTCATTTTGATAAAAATTCCACATGCTGGGGCCCAGGGATGATCCTTGAGGACAACCACGATGCAAAGGTTTCCAATCACTTGTATAGTTCCCTAATCTGACTCGGTTCTCTCTTTCAGAAAAATAGTCCTTAAGCAAGTCCAGAGACCTGCCGGATACTCCATAACTTTGCATTTTAGAAAGCTACTTTTTTACTTTTTAGGTGCGCTGTTAAGAAGTATCCTAAAGGTTTACCCGCTACAACGATAGTTATTTGTTTCCATAACGAAGCATGGTCTACTCTACTACGTACAGTACACAGCGTGATTGACAGAAGCCCCGCCCATCTGGTTCGGGGAAATTTTACTTATCGCTGATTACAGTACTCATGGTAAGGTCTTGGACTGCCGATCATTTCGCACGGGAATGTGGATTCTTATGCGCAGAACTAACAGTATGAGGGACCGTTCGATATCTTTATCAAGAGAGTAGTTTTTCACAAGTCCTCCCATTTGTATAGCACTTTAGTTGGGACATGCAGTTTTCTTGGGAGAAAAAAATAAAAGAAAGAATCGGCATAGAAGCATGCGAATACCTTACATGTGGTCATACTTTTGCGTGTTGCGCTGTAAGATAGATGTTTTATCGATAGTAACTGGTATTAAATTACGTACGCGGAACCATGCTCCTTTACCTTCTGACTAACTTTTCTGCAGACTAAAGTTAAGCACTGAAGTTAAGTTGTTTATAGCTCCCCCTTCCTTATCCTGGTACGCCCCTTAGGGCTGGTTCACACCTTAACAGAACCATAAGCATAAGCATAAGCATAAGCATAAGCATAAGCATAAGCATAAGCATAAGCATAAGCATAAGCATAAGCATAAGCAATAAAAGGTGAACCGGGCTTGCACAAAGCATAAGCATAAGCTTTCATCATTAAAATTTCATCAATCACTTCTATTTACTTTGATATTAATTTATATGTTGTATTCATGTACCTGTTATACTGATCCCGTTGTCGAGTCCTCTCGCCATCTACTGGTTGGTAGACCAATTTGTTTGAGTTTGACTGCATGACGTGGTTTCTTGTTCCTTGCTCACAAACTTAAGTGCTTTAAACTACATTCAGTAGGGTTTCTCTGCACTCTAGTTAGAAACATCAACCAGCAAACAATCACCAGCGAAGCTGAAGATGTTTTCCTAGTCGTCAGAGCTCTGCTGTGTACTTCAATATTTACAGGCTACGTTGACTCGTACATTTGCGCTTGAACAGAAGCCAGCAAATTCCTTAGTCATTCATGTTCTTGCTCCCTACAGAACCAAAGATTGAACGTGCAAATCAGTATTCAAAAGTACATTGTGATTTTTGTGTAAATAATAATAATAATAATAATAATAATAATAATAATAATACTTTATTTATAAACGGAATCACATCACATCATGGCAGAGAATTCCAGGCAACTGCTCCACTATATTTAAAGCTATTTTTTAAGAAGTTTGTCCTAGGAAGTGGTAGTGACAAATTTGAGTGACAACCATGAAGACCATAATCATAACTCCAGAGACATTTTTGAATAGGTTACACAAGTACTGATCTTATACATAGTTTTCACCTTCTGCCTGAAGCGTCTTATTTCGAGATCATCCCAGTGAAAGCTTTGGAGAATATCACTAGACCTAACTGTATAGTCAGAGCGGGTTATGATACGGCCAGCACGATTTTGGATTTTTCGTACACGGTCGCGCAACCCTTTCCGACAGGTATCCCACACTGGAGCACAGTAGTCCAAATGTGGGAGCACCATCGTTAAAAAGATATTCTCCAGAGTCTTCGATGGTACATAGTCGCGAATACGCCGCATTACCCCAAGTCCCTTACTAGCCTTTTTACAAGCATACTTTATGTGTTCATTCCATTTTAGACGTTCAATAATAACCCCTAAAGTTTTAGTAGATTGAACTCGTTTAAGGTGGCCATCGCCTATTTTGATAATCGGGTCTCGTGAGAGGCCTGCTAAGCGTTGCTTTGATGAAATAAACATATATTCCGATTTGACCACGTTTAAACTGAGACGGTTGGCTAGAAGCCATCTGCGCAAAGAGTCAAGATTTTCATTTATTAGAGTTTCAATCTTATTAACATCAACATCACTGCCTGTGATATTGGTGTCATCAGCATACATATTTGGGATGGAGTAAGTCAAGCACCCAGGTAGGTCGTTAATATAAAGTAGAAAAAGTAGCGGACCAATTATGGAACCCTGAGGGACTCCAAATTTAATACTCTCGGGGCTTGACAGCACTCCATTGGCAAAAGTTTGTTGCGTTCTATTAAAAAGATAGGACTTGGGCCACTGCAGCTTGATACCACGGATACCGTAAAGAGAAAGTGTCTGAAGGAGTATTTCATGACCCACAGTGTCGAAGGCCTTTTTGAGATCAATAAAGACTGCGAGATTTATTTCCCACAATCCATATAATTAAGCCAGTAAGTAGTGTTCTTGAGCAAATCAGTCAGATTTATATTAATTATGCGCTGAGAGTAGATAAGTCAAAACAACTCTTTGAAACCTTAGCAATTACGAAATAAATTCGCTGTCAATTTATTTTTACTGGGTTGCCTGAAGCAGTCCAGTCGTAATATGCCTTTGTTTGTTTTTTTGTCTTCTCCTTTACGCAATAAGTGCATTCTTGCGCAAGAGTACCCATATATGGATTTGAATGACGTGTTCATTAATGGCTCATAGATTGGCTAAGCAGCTGAGGATGTAAATCAGGGCTGTAGAAGCATATAATTGAGCAGTGAAAGAAGATTTCTAGAATCGTAATTCAAATTTTTAATACAGCTACAGTCAGAAATATTAGTATGGCCTTAAGGAAAATACAGCTTTCAGTTTTTAGTTAACAAGACGCTCTTGGAGCGTGCACTGGGGTGTCCAATGTGCTGGTACGCTGGAGCTTATTTAACGCCTAATCTTTATTATGTACCGCTATTTGCGAGGAGCGGGTACTTTAGAACATTTTAGGTGTAATTTTCTTTCAGAACTTGCGAGCACCTATTTTTTTCTCACATCAAATTATTCAATTTTTTTTACAACTTTTAAATGTGTCTTATTTTAATAATAATTTTAATTTTGGCGTTTGAGCTGACGAAATAATGATATTTATTTCAAGATACGTGGACAAATAAGCGACATAAATTCGTTTAGAAATATGTTTAAATTGTTAATTGTTTTTCGCTAACCGTTCTGATGTTCTCGATCTCTCCATTATTGATTATATTCTTCAAATATTGTCATATATGGGTACTCTTTCGAAAGAAATGTCCATTTCACAAGGAGACTATAAAAAGAAAGGCATTTTACAACTGGGCTGTAACAGGCAACCCAGTAAAAACCCAAAGGCATTTTACGACTAGGCTGTCGCAGGCAACCCAGTGAAACGTTTTGAATTTTCACCTTTTGAAAGGCCATGGATAGTTAATGTATAGCAAAAACATGCTCAACTTGTAAAACCTGTTTCCCCCTCCTATTAAAGGAATGCAGACTGATATCGCATACCTCGACTTAACTAAAGCATTTAGTGTTTCTCATAAAAGACTGGTCTCATTATGGTATCTCCAATTCTGTTCTAAGTTGGTTTGTTAGTTATCTCAAAGATCGTAGCCAGTGTTGCATAGTACATGGTTCTATTTCAAATAGTCTTCCCGTGCTATCTGGAGTGCCTCAGAGCAGTATATTGGGGCCAATACTCTTCCTTCTGTACGTAAATGATCTGCCCTCCATAGTCGACAACACATTGGCTCTTTTTGCTGATGACTCAAAGTGTTCAAAAGCAATTACCAACACTGAGGACTGTATCTCTTTACAAGATGATCTAGACAATCTGCTCTCTTGGAGACACGACTGGAATCTTCGCTTTAATCCTTCAAARTGTGAAGTGCTGACAGTAACTCGCAAAAAGAACCCTGTTGAATTTATCTATAGATTAGGCTCTGATAATTTAGCTAAGGTATCATCTCAACTAGACTTGGGTGTTACGGTTACTACTGACTTAAAATGGGATACACATATCAATAATACTATCGCAAAATGTTATCGTATGTTAGGATTTTTACGTAGGCATAGCCCAAGCAGTTTTGCTTCTAATACCAGAAGATCACTATAYTTAGCATAYGTAARATCTCATTTAGATTATTCAAGTGAATTGTGGGCCCCTCAGTCAATTGGAAATATTTCTAAAGTAGAGTCCATACAGAGAAGAGCAACAAAATATATTTTAAATTTAAAGTATGATGACCCATTATCCTACAGAGATAGATTGCAAAAGTTACATTTATTGCCTATTTCTTATCATCATGAAGCCAAAGACATAATTTTCTACTTCAAATGTCGCTTAGGTCTTGTCAATATTCCTGTTCATCAATACTTTCCTAGTAAGGCTCCGCCGACTCGCATCACTCGTAACAGCTCTGCTCTAGACTTGCTAATTACTAAGTGCCGCACTAAACTTTTTCAAACTATCTACTTTAACCGATTACCTAAGCTTTGGAACAACTTCTCTGTTTCTTTACGTAACTGTAATTCACTTAAGAGTTTTAAATTACATCTTACTAACCACTACTTTAGTGCTCTTACTAACTTCTATGATGTAAATCGATTTAACACCTGGAAATCTATATGCCTTAAATACTGCTCTTCTCGTAACCTATTAACTTCTTATGCTTGCTGTTACTGAGTGATTTAATATTATTAATATTTTAAATTATCATTATTTAGATCACATTACTACTGCAGATATAAATCTATTATATTTATACATTATTATTATATATTATATTCCATATTGTACTTTTTATCATTTGATATTTTTTAGACACTTTGTTTGGAGCCCAGCTCTGTTGTGTTTTCCTCACCCAAACATTTTCTTTTCTTTTCCCAATTTTTTAGTATACTTTGTAATAGTTATTTTAGGGTGAAAGTTTATTAAATAAATAAATAAATAAATGCCCCAATTTTCCAGTGTTTTTGAATTTTTGAAAATCAGGAACCGTACATAGMTGGAATGGACTGGACTTYGGTTGGCTGGATCGTACGGAACGTAGATGTTTTTATACGCCAAATTTGCAGCTTTTACCCTATGATTTTTATTATATTATAAATATAAACTAGTGATTCTATTACGAAATTTTGCAACACCAAAAAATAAATAAATAAAAAGCAAAAAGCTTTTGTTTTAGCTCGTGGCACTGGTTGAAGTCACGTGAAGCCGGTCAGTGGCAAAGGTTTTTGAAAAGACTGTATACATTAAGTGTCTATAGGTGACTTTGTAGATCGCTACAGATTTTAACAACTAATTTTCTTCCATTAAGATGCTAATAAGATAAATTGGATGTTTTTTGGATGTGACTGGAATGGAATGCAAGTGATTGGGCTTTAGTAAATGACTGGTGCTTGAATCACAATTTTATTTTAATTTTCGACTTTTTGAAAGTCCATGGATAATTTTAATGTATAGCAAAAACATGCCCAACTTCTAAAACTTGTTTTTCTCTTCTAAATTTCCGAATTTTGAGTGTTTTTAATTTTGAAAAAATCCGGAACCGTACATAAATGGATGGACTGGAATTCGGTTGGCTGGATCGTACGGAACGTAGACGTTTTTATACGCCGAATTTGCAGCTTTTACCCTATGATTTTTATTGTATCATAAATAACTAGCGATTCTATTCCGACATTTTGAAAAAAATGCAGTGAGAGGCTCTTGGAGCGTGCACCAGGTTGCCCAATGTGCTGGTATGCTGGAGCTTATTTATCACCTAATCTTTGTTATGTACCGCTATTTGGGAGGAACTTTAGAGCATTTTAGGTATATATTTTTTAGAACTTCCCAATATACTACTGATGCGGTTTTGTAGACGGAGAAAACAACGTTGCGTTACTGACGTCACTAAGTTTTAAATATACTCTCCATCTTGAATTACACAAGAATCTTGATCTGAACTTGACCCACAGGTAGCCCAAGCTTGGTTTCTGTGGTGTCCTGCTATAAGGGAATGTATGGAGATTCATCAAAAATTTCAATAAAATCATTGAAACGTTAAATAAGGCCTCGAAATTTTACCCGATCATTGAGAAATAGCACTTCTTTTGAACTGCGTGGTTATTTTTTGAATTTAGCCCGTTTTAATATTTTTTCCCCCACCAGTAAGAAATAAGAGAAGGTTGGAAACTCGAGTCCCAAAAGCGAACCATCACGGGTCTTTGAAACCTCGTACGTCTTCGAATTTTCTTTCCAGCGCCAAATTTTAGTCATGACCCTTCTCTCACATCCCTATAGAACCGAGAAAGTCGCATTAGAGATTAATCTTCGCGTCCTTAAGCCATGAAATTTGCCTGTATTCACATACTACCTCGCTTGTTCTGACCCGTACTTGGAGCTCACTGTACACCAGTTCAACGGATTTCTTTCGGCAATCGACCCGAGGTCGAACCATTCAAACATATTTCTACGCGAATTTATGTCGCTTATTTGGCCATGTACACGGTTTTTGAAAGAAATATATGTACTTCGTCAGAAAAAAAAGGTTAACGAGTCTTTGTAAGGTCAAAGGTTATTGTGTAATTCAAGATAGAGAGTATATTTAAACTTAGTGATGTCAGTAACGCAACGTTGTTTTCTCGGTTTACATAACCGCATCAGTAGTGTTAGGAAACTCTGAAAAAAATATACCTAAAATTTTTCAAAGTATCACCTCCCCCCAAATAGCGGTACATAACAAAGATTAGGTGTTAAATAAGGTCCAGTATACCCGCACATTGGGCAACCCAGTGCACGCCCCAAGAGCGTCTTGTTTCATTCATAGTTGTTCGTTCGTGGTTCTCGTGTGCCCGTTTCAAGGCCATGTCGCTTGTCGTAATTTTTGCACCAGTCAATTGAAACCCCCTGGGATCTCTACTATCAAGGGCGTAGGCAGAAGAGCGGATTGGGTCATCCCCCCCTCCCCCCCTCGTGGCAACGAGACGGCGGCTTTTTACAAATGAAAACGTAAAACGTAATATCGGCTCTTTTCTTTCTTTTTCCTTTTTATTTTCGGAGGCCCAAAACAAAATGGCGGATTTTAGAATTCGAAATTAAATTGGAAAAAGATTTCTTTACTGCCTTATAAAGAAAAAAAGTAAGAACATATTTCTAAAGCATTTTATTCTGAAGAACGAACTAAAGAATTTTTTTTCCGGCATTAAGGTAAATTCTTCGGATTTACGTAGAAACTCACCGAACACAATAAAATCAGTGTTAGTACTCTTATCATACTATGTTGAATGAAGACAAGTTGAATAACACTTATAAACGCATGTTTTAGAATATTCGCTTATTTCACAGTCTAGGTAAATAGTGAGTGAATATAAAAGTCTGATCGGAGTAATTTGATACGCACAACGCAACGCTCTTGTAAGAAGGACGCGAGAGGAGAACAGGGAACCAAAGCATAAATAAGAGAGGGAAACTTTTTAATAACGCTCTTTCCGTTTCGTTTTTAGTGATCAAGGAAAGAGCACACGCGCGCAAGTTGATGACGCACGGGAGTAGGCGAAAATTAAACTGCATCCGGCTACTGAAAATAGCCCGACCGGGAATTTACATGGCGCCGCGTTATTAAGAAGTTTCTCTCACTTATGCGCTCTTGAAGAAACCTAATATCTCAAGAGTGCAACAAGGATTCAAAGGAGGGTATCAACGAGTTTGCCACGCGGCAGTTGGATTGGTTCTTGGAGTCATCTTTACACCATAAAAACGAGAAAGCTCTATAGTGAAACCCAGGAATTCTTGGGATTCTTTCGAAACCATAGGCTTGTAGAAAGCAGATGAGCCCGTAAATTTACCCACAACCGCCGAGTCGATTTCTGCCGCGTCATACTGTTTCAGTGTGCTTTGCTAATCAAGGGTGCCAATGAGCGAGAGAGGAATAGGCTGCGAGCAGTCCCTCTATTTCCGTTTGTCACTGTCCGTCTTCCTAGGCCAAGCAGCACGGACAGAGAGACGGACAGTGGCCAAGGGAAATAGAGGGACTGCTCGCAGTGTAAGAGAGGAATTGAATGAGAGGACTTGTGGAGAGCCGCACTATAGGAAGAGAACTTAGATTTTCGAGAGGATTATATTACAGCGTTAGGGGCAGATGGCCAGATTATCAATTGGCTATCATATCAGATCTTCTCCTCTTTACTTCTTTAAACGAGAATAACCAGCTGTTTTAAGAAAAAAAGTGAGGCAATCAGAATCGGAAAAAAATTGGGAAATAAAATATCGAATAAATAATCGGTGTGTTGAAGAGATTGTCGCATAAGTTCTAGAAAAATAAATCAGAATATTTCCCCCCATTAACACAAAGGTTCGGTTGTACGAATAAATCTTATCCAGTGGATTAGTCGATGCTGCTATCTAAAAAATTCATGTACTTGATATAAATTTATCATTGGGATAGCCTTATTCACCCCTCGTATAACCGAGCGCCGGGAATTTCTTAATTGTTGATGATGTAGAATATGGATGTTTAAATTTTCATTCGAGTGTCTCTAATAGTTTTGAATCTTCATCGCACTTTCTCCACAGCAATCATCACCTGTAGTCTGACCTGTAGTGTTATAATATATTAGAAACGATAAACTCTGCTCATTTCCTAATAATTTCCTTTCCTGGGCTAATTTCTGTGTGTTTTTCTTGCTAATAGCTAGCTAATTATAATCCCACTACAAAAACCTCGTTTCCTTTGTCCGGCATTGTAAAACCGATAATCAATCGAAATTATTTACAAATAAACAATATGAATACATCGGTTTTGCACTGAAGCTTAAGTTACGAAGCCATTTTGTGACTTTGACTATTTATTCGGCAGAAATTCTCAAGGTTCAAATTAAGTGTGCCTCTGTTTTTTTATTTTTAGGACTCTTAACTCCTTATTAATGGGAGACGCATCGGTAGGCGCTGATAAACCTGAAAAGACTCAAAATAAATTACTAATCTAACAATCATATTTTTAGTTTGTTTCAGTTTTCAGAGATGTTCTTAGATACGACACGTGTCCTTTTGAATATTCAAATCAAAACGAGGATTTGCTGCATCTTAACAGCTGACCAAATGGATGACACAGCAAGTGACAAGAAGTCTTCTTCGTTGACCCGAAAAACAAAGGTATATTTAAAAAAAGATAATATAGGCCCAGTACCAAATTCTCCATAAAATTAAAGAAAAAATAAAGCAATTTTTTTAAAGGATGCCTCGTCAAAGCTGTCGAGGAGCTCAAATTATAATTCTATATAAACCTCGATAACGTAACAATTAAACGGAACACGACGGTGGTCGAGTCCGAAGCGGGCTAAGATTGCTTCCTTATTTTGATTGAAATGGGGTTTCAACTTGTTTTGTGAAAATCGAGTTTTAAACGCGAAGAAATATTAGTACGACTAGCAGGAGTAATTTTAAAACCAATATTTTAAAAGATGACTCGTAGAGAAGGAAATCACTATGGCAACGGGTTGGTTGATGCGGTATTTAGCGACTAAAGCTTGAACTTCTTTAAAAAACCTATCAGTCTCCGTCACGATCAAGTACCCAAACCGATTAAAATTTGTAGAGTCAGAATAAAAAATATATATCAAAAGTGCGAATAAATGAATAAATGAATGTATGGATTAAGACTATAAATTTCCAAATACAAGTAAGCAGCGCTATAAGATACCCTAGATCCGGCTGAATGTATGTCACAAAGCTCTTCTCAACATATCGAGTACTCAAAGAAAATCACGTCCTTCCTCAAAAGTCTCCGCTATCTACCAACTCGTGATGTGTTACTTTACAGTAAAAAACAAAAACAAAAAACGAAGAACAAAAGGAAGAATATAAGCAAGCCCACGTCAATTTTACTTAAGATAGAATCAATTATATTAAAATATTTATTGACTAAAATTAGCATCTCATCTTCGTCAAAGCAACTTTGCGGCTCCGAATAATACGCTAGTAATAATCCCTCGTGATTGGCGCATGTAAATTAATATTTTTCATCAGAGAGACACAGTAACGGTGTTTGTTTTACGCTTTGCGTAGATTAGTTTGTCACTCTTGGTCATTCATGCAGTTTACAAAGGCCATTGGTCAGCTGTCCAATCCTCCCTCTGTTTAACGTCGTCGATGTCATCATAGCACTTGCGCGGTTTTATATAACGTAAAATGACATTTGATCTTCCAAAAGCGCATACAGGAAAGGCTCTGAGTCATAACTCGCCTGCAAAGCCTTGCAACGACTGTTAAAATCATTACAGTCAAAACACAGTCGATAATATATGAGCCCACAATTACCAGCGATCGTAGTGGCTTTCACCAATGCAAGGCTTCACATCTACCAAGATCCATCAAGCTAGTAGGTACTCCAGATAATTCTAAATCTCTCGCCGATGGAAGCAAACTTACGCCGGCAAAGAACGATGTTGTATTTGGTAAAATTATAGCAAACATATATAAACTCTTCAAGATATTTACTATCATATAGTTAGGACGAGTCTAGGCCTGAAAGTGTTTGTTTTAATGATTTTTATTCGAATCAAAGATATCCACGGTTTATACAAGGATTATATTGTCGGCCGCCGGATCGACGTTGGCGTTACTACTTGGCTCTGTTCGATAGCGTGGATATATATATAATTTCCTTTGATAAGCTTTAGTTATTTTCACTCAGTCAGGATGAAGTTGAAGCTCCATCGTTCAAGGCAGGTCATCGTTGTAGCCTTGTTGACTTCGATTTTTTGGTTTATGTTGAATATTATTCTTTTATATACCTACCAAGGCAATATATTCTTATCTCTACGACAAGGAACTCAAAGTCGAGAGGAGGGACAAGCAAATGTTTTACCGGGGAATTTAAATGGCGTACGATTGCCACGTGGTCAGACGCATCAAAAACAGCATCAACAAGAACCAACTGTTTTGGAAAAAATTCCAAAAATTGAAGAATCACAGAACCAAGAAAACGAAGATAGTAATAAAGATAAGGATGAAGACGATAAAAACTGGCTTAAACAATACATAGGAAATGTTAAATCTCCAACAAGTTCAGAAGATAGTGATTTACATAATGCAGACCAGAAGATCAAGGTAATGAAGGAAGAAAACAAGGACTCCATTAAGCCAAAGGTTACAGTGAAGACAGAACAGGTTCAGCCTTCAAGAAAAGAATTTGATTTTGAAACGGAACCGGTTGCACGAGATCCGAACGGCCCAGGAGAAAATGGACAAGCTGTCAGCATCAAGGAGAACGAGAAGAAGGAAGAGACTGAAGGATATAACCAGCATGCTTTCAATGAGCTTGCGAGCAGGAAGATTTCCCTGCATCGATCTATCCCAGATACTAGAGAACCAGGGTAAGTAATTTTTTTCCGGTGCCTATAGATATTTTCTTAATACATTTAGTGTTTTCTCGAAATTAGAAAAAAATGTAAAAAATGCAAGCTTAATCTAAGATATTTTCAACATTTTATAGTATTTGATATTTTTTTGCTTAGGTTAATTGATGTCTTTGTCCGGTACTGTAGTTGTTTTGTTTCGTTTAAAGATTTTTTTAAAATGAAAATTGTCAGCATTTTTCCTGCCTTTTTGTTTTTCAGTCTTTCCAAAAAACTTTAGGACTAGAAGCCTCTTGTTATTCTGATAAAACAATTATAAGTATGAATGTCTCAGTAGTTTTCTTTAATTTATTTTTATTTTCTTTACGCACTTAAAAATGTTTTTTGTTTGCTCAAAATAAATATCCATTTGTAACCAATCAAGCCCAGTTTTTTGTTCTTGTTTGCGAAAAGAACGGACAGCGATTTTCCGTTTTGAAAAGCGGAATTGAATATCCACTTTGGGACTTCAATTTCGATAGTTTTGATATTATAACCAAGATACTATACCAGGAAATGTGGGCAGATGCTTTTCAAAATCTTAATGTGTTTCTACTAAGTGATCTCGTAAATGTTTATTAACCAAGATTGATGGAACACGTATAAATAACTTCCGACTACATGAAGAATGTTTGCAGGCGACAAATTGGCAGCCCAGTCGAACCGCCAACTCACAACATTTGACCAAGAGTTTCAAGGGTTTTTATAGCTAGGATGAACAACTGAAATGTTTTTGAGTGTTCCCCTGACTTTAGTAAGAATTCGAGAACGTTTCAGACTAATAGCTCGAGTATTTAGTATTGGTGCCGTTTCCTCTTTCTATAATGGTTCGCTAAATGTTTTAAAACGCAGCTGAAATAGCGTTGACAGAGAAAAGTGTTTCTATTATTACCTTGAAGTGCTTGCTTTCTGTAAGCAATGGATATTTTAGTAGAAGCCAAGAATGATCCCTCTCAGAATTTTTCTCTTCAATCACTTGTTTTCTTCTTTTCTGAGAACCTTTTTGATTTTCGCGCCATTTCCACTGAACCAAAGACGCGCGCGTCTTCATGTAGCAAAAAAAGGGCGCGAAAATGGATACCAATGGATGGACTAAAATGCTTTTGCTAGCTAGTGCTTGTATGTATGTCTTTTAGAATAACATTTGAAGTGGATACTTAAGAAAAATTTGGTCCAAGACGCCTAAACTCTACTGTTGACATAAATAAAAACTTTAATTTTTAATTTTTAATTGTCTATAGATTTTGTTTTTAATGTTCCATTTATTGATCCTATTTCCTCTGGTTATTTCTTGCTAATTGAATCTTGTGTCTTTCATTGTATTGTGAGATCGAATCATTACTGAATGTAGAACACCCCCAGTAGGGTTTCTCATCGTAAAATATATTTCAAAACAGCTAGGATCTCCAGATTCCTAAAGGGCAAACCAAATCTTTTCCAGCATATTGATAAAACAAACAGTCAGACGTTCCCACTAAAGAATTTTAGTGAAATTTAATGCCCTTGATTTAATACCAGTACTTTTAAGAAAAAGATGAATTTTTTTTGTTTAATGAATTAACTATCTTTTTAACGTAAATTTTCTTTTCATTTTGTAAAGCGCGTTTAATTTTTATAGCTCGCTAAATAAGAATTATAATATTATTGTCATTATAACTACTATTCGCAATGAAAATTTAAACCAAATAATTTAATTTTAATTTTTTGTTTCGCCCAGCCATTAATAAGAAAAAGAAAACGAAATTAAAGGAAAAAGATCATGATAGACAAGAATTCACCTATTGTGTGTTTTGGTTTATTTAAGTAAAAAATAAAATAAGACACATAAAAAAGGAGGGCAAAGAAAAACAGAAGTGTTTTGACGAAGGCCTAATAGTCAGAGCAGGGAGCGGTTGATCTAAATTTGCTGTGTAATATCTGTTACGTGACCTGAACCGACCTGAACCTATAATACTATGATATGTAGATTCAATTGCTTGCGCTGCTATTAGTGGATTTCAATTCTACATCTGTGAAAGGCATGATTTTAGTATTAAAAAGTGCGGATTAAGAGTTCATATATTTTCATTTTTCTCAAGTTTGCTTTCAGACAAAACTTCCGGGCCGACCTGTATCCGTTTTTAGCGAAAAACGTTTAGTATTGTGATCAAAAAAGTGCTGATATAAATAAGAATCTATTTTTTATTCCATTACTATAGGCTTTTTTGCTATTCGAGAAACAAGGCCTTTTTTGGCACACAATTTTAACGATGCTTTTCGCTTGGCCTCTGCTCATGGCCCTTCCCCCCTGATTTTCAAACACGACACCAAATACTAATGAATAAACCATACACTGCCTTATTATAATGGTTACGGTAACCTTTGATCGAGATGCCTAGATTGTATCACATACATCTAATTTGTTTTTAATTATACACGTATATCTCACCCAAAAAGCGCTTGCAATTTCAAAACTAGTGTTCAGCGTTTAAAACACATGCTTTTTGTCAAATATATCTATATCTATAGATTTATATAAATATAAAAAGACTAGTTCCATAGACTAGTTTAATAAAAGATTCAGCTTTTAAGCCCAAAGGAAAAGAAATCTCTAAAATGACTATGTCGATTAAAACACATTAACTAGAAAATGACTAAAACAGTTCCATATCATCGTCTGCGTTGATGATTTGGCGGCTTTTCCTGATGAATATCCAAAATTAAATGGTATTTATAAAGTGCATTTTAAAGTCTCACATTTTAATCACTCCATTAGATTTTTTCTCTTTTAATAATGATAAAACTTCGTGTATTGACGCCGCGAACCAGTTTGACATTAACCATGCAAGAGGAAAGCAATGCCACAGGAACCGTGGGTGGAGGGGGGAGCTATGGAGTCCCCCCTTGGCGAAACTCTTTTCCGATTTTATTATGACTGAGGAAAAAAATAAAAAACGACGGCCACACACACACAGAACATGAGTACTATGACGCGAGTCGTGTCCCAGAAGTAATCGAGTAAAATTATGCGACAATTCGAAAAGGAGCGATGAACGCATGCACGCACGTTTTTCGCCTTTAAATAGCTATTCTTTTACGTTACAGGTGCGCTGTTAAGAAGTACCCTAACGATTTACCCACTACGACTATAGTTATATGTTTCCATAACGAAGCATGGTCTACTCTGCTACGTACGGTTCACAGCGTGATTGACAGGAGCCCCGCCCATCTGCTTCGAGAAATTTTACTTATCGATGATTACAGTACTCATGGTGAGTTCTTAGACAGCCGATCCGTTGCGCGGGAATGTGGATTCTTATGCTCAGAACTAACAGTATGAGGGGCCGTTCGATATATACAATGAAATAAAAGCCACTAATTCGGTCACAGAATTCTAAATTACCTGGATATAAAAACTTTCAGTTTAGAATGAGCAAACTACCGTACACTCTTTAAGATGCCACAATTTGACGAAGACAGAAATCACAGAACAATAATCTTAAAGAGCGTAGCAACCTGCGTGCATTCTGGCTTGCATGCTACGTTAAGTGTCATAGAATTAAAAATATTCCATTTATATCCGTTTTCCTAACAGATTACTTGAAGTCTAAGCTACAAGCATACGTCTCTTCTCGCCTTCGCAAGGTTCGAATTATCCGAACAAATAAAAGAGAAGGCCTCATTCGTGCGCGACTCATCGGCGCACGCGCAGCAAAGGGAGACGTCATCACATTCCTGGACGCTCACTGTGAGACCAATGTGGGATGGCTAGAGCCGCTTCTGAGTCGTATTCACTCTGATCGAACTATCGTAGCCGTGCCTGTTATAGACATTATCAATGCAAAGAACTTTAGGTATTCTGGGACACCCTCTGGGGTCATTGGGGGCTTTAGTTGGGACATGCAGTTTTCTTGGCACTCGTTACCGTATAGCCGTCAAAAGGAGAGAAACGACAAAACGGACCCTATCAGGTAAAACCCCGTAGTCGATAGCTACCATGATAATATTATCCTGAATTATAAGATGTCCTGAAAATATTCAATCTTCATTAAGTTCCATCAGGCTCAACTACTAAAATGTATGTACTAAATCTAGAGAGAAATTGGAAAAAAAGAGAATCTTTTCAATTGTTTTGAAAGCGCTGACTGATCAGTTAACAAGACAGTAGATGATAACTTAGTCACCGTATTGTCTTAATAATTACGTGATATGGTGCACCTGCTGCTGTTTAGTTTTAATTATTGGGTAAAAAGCATATAAATTGTCACTAAATGCTAAATATAATTTGAAAATCTTTCACTTGAATTTTTCAAATTTTAGTTCTTATTTTATTTCAGAACACCGACCATGGCCGGAGGATTGTTTTCTATCGATCGAAAGTATTTTTTTGAGTCTGGTTCTTACGACGAGGGAATGGACGTCTGGGGAGGAGAGAACTTAGAAATGTCGTTTAGGGTGAGTTTGAAAACACTGCGCAACCTATCAGCCCGGCACCTTGTGCATTAGTAATAGCTTTGAAATTCTGCGGCGGTTTTTGATATAGAGGATATTTGGACAGTAAGATAAAAGAAAAGAATTAAGAAAACGAACTAAAGCGAAAAAAAATAAGTTGAAAACGATCTCTTCGCATGTGTTTATCTTTCGCTGATCAAGCAACATCTGAAAGAACAGATAGAATGGTTATGTTAAACTGGAATGGATAAAGAAAGCAAGGAAGGACGGGATAAAAAAAAGAAATAATTGAAGGAAAATGTTTTGTTGGAAATGACCGACGGTCAGATCAACTGCCACTTGACTGACTGACTGAATGACTAACTGACTGAATGACCGACCGACCGACCGACCGACCGACCGACCCATCGACAGACCGACTGACCGACCGACTGACTGACTCTCTGACCGACTCTCTGACTGGCTCTCTGACTGACTGACTGATCGACTGACCGACCGACCGACCGAACGCAAACATGTCATGCCTCGTATGATTTGATTTATTCATGCCCAGATAGAATCATATCTAAATTTTCTTTGACACGCTTTTTAGATTTGGCAATGTGGCGGTAAGCTAGAGATCCTGCCATGTTCGCGAGTTGGCCACGTGTTTCGTACTCGCTTCCCGTACAGCTTCCCAGGGGGGTACACCGAGGTCAGCGTGAACCTTGCACGCGTTGTAAGAGTATGGATGGATGACTATAAGACATTCGTGTACATGAAGAGACCAGATTTGAAAACTCTTCAGTATGGAGATATCAAGTCCAGATTAGATCTCCGTAAAAGACTTAAATGCAAGGGCTTCAAGTGGTACTTGGATAACATCTATCCCGAACAGACACTGCCTGGAGGAGATGCGAAGGTTTATGGCGAGGTCAGTGATTCATAAATGAATTTCTAGACTTCCACAAATGGATTGTGCTTTTCGAGAGATAATAGTTATGTATTCTAGATTATTTATTAGTTAAAGTAGATAGAGAAAAGAAAAAAAGGTTGGAAAAATGAGAGAATAAAGAGAGAATTTTCTTATTCTCTCTTCAGTCCCTTTCTTCCCTATTTTCATTTTTTCTCATTCCAGAAGACTTTCAGCCTGTGAATATGCCTAAGTTACTTAATCAAATGTTGGACGATGGCCACATGACCAGTGAAAATTATGAATATTAATCTTTCCGCCACCATGTAGGAGGCAAGCGCAAGTCAATCTCACACTTAAATCACTAGTGCTAAAAAGGGAAAAACCTCCTAACTGTTATATTTTAAATTATTTTTAGTTTGTCACATTTCTAAAGTAGCCCGCGACCACTATTGTCATGCCTGTTACCTAATATGGTGACAATAGTCACGTGATTCTAGTTTACTTTGCGACGTTAAAGAGGGGCGTAGTGCATTGACCTTAACATGCCGCACGATATAAATGAATTGCCTATAGAGGTTAACGTTCAAAGATTATACTTATTCATTTGTCTCACGAATATGGCAGTTAGGTGGACCGGTGCCACAGTCGTGAGTAAAATAAATAAGTATAATCTTTGAGTTATATCCACGGTGAATAATCCTTTTCATTTTATTGAGGTTAACGTTCTTGAGTAGTGGATTGTGTAACAATAGAATATCATTGAGAAATTCGTTTTTTTCTAGTCATCCAACATGGCTGCCATCACGTGATTAGACTGCGAGATAAGTCCCTCCATTTCCGTGGTCACCGTCCGTCTGTCTGTCCGTGTCGATTGGTCGAGGAAGATTGGTCGTCCCTCCCTCCCCAGCCCCCTCCCTCAGGGACTTTTGACTTGTAACCAATCTCCCTCGACCAATCTACACGGACAGACAGATGGACGGTGACCAAGGGAAATAGAGGGACTTATTAGCTCGCATTCTACCACCGTGATCATGAATAATCTCTGGTACGGCCCTTAGCAACAAGGCTAAGAATAAGCGGCCCCTTTTCTTAGTGAAGAATGCGTGAATGAATGCCAAAAATCTAGAAAAGCCTTCCTCGTAAAACTTTATCAATCACTTCTTCTATTTTCTTTGATATAAATTTATATTTTGTGTTCATGTACCTGTTAATACTGATCCCGCTGTCGAGTCCTCTCGCCATCTACTGGTTGGTAGACCAATTTGTTTGAGCTTGACTGCATGACGTGGTTTCTTGTTCCTTGCTCACAAACTCAAGCGCTTTAAACCACATTCAGTATGGTTTCTCTGCACTCTAGCTAGAAACATCAACCAGCAAACAATCATCGGCGAAGCTGAAGATATTTTCCTAGTCGTCAGAGCTCTTAGTTTTCTGCTGTATACTTCAGTATTTACAGGCCACGTTGACATTTACACTTGAGCAGAAGCTAGCAAGTTCCTTAATCATTCATGTTCTTGTTCCCTAGAGAACCAAAGATTGAACGTGCGAATTAGTATTCAAAAGTACATGTCTTTCGTGTGTGTGGTTTGCGCATCTTCATTTTACATCATAATATATTTTTCCTTCGCTATCTTGGGGTTTATAGAAATGTTCCCAAACAGCGCAATAATACATGGACGCTCAACTCAGTGCTAAGCCGTCGGACGGGCTACCTGTGTAAGGATTTTGTGAACAAGCTCACAACCGGTCCTCCCTTTCCATGAATTACACAGGCTACCCATCTATCTGACAAAAAGTATAAACTAAGAGCATTGTTTTAAAATTTAAACCAATGGGTTCGTCTAGTGATGACGGAGAAGACTAATGTCCGATTAAACACTAATAAATAAATATGTTGAACGATAATTTTGTCTGTTAAGTGATAAACTAAATAAAAGGATCCAACAAATAAAGACTGACCATGGGTATGTATGGTTCTAAGGGTCGTGGGTTTTTTTAATTTATTAGGAATACACTGTATTCGAAAATAACAGAAGTAATAAACTAAAACTGAAACCTGGATACGAATGCCTGCAAAAATATTTTTGACATAGTTTGTGATTATAAAAATTATATTTCAATAAAGAATTAACGATTTTAAACTAGTAAATATTGTCTTAAACATTGATTTAAATTCTTTCAGCTTAACATTTTAATGTGGCTTTATATAACTGTTATAAATCTCGCCGCGTTCTAATTGGTTGGGAGCGCGTGCTTTATGAGAGCACATACAACGCGAGCGCACTTTCTTCTGCGTCATATTCCCGCCTATATGAAATAAAGGTTATTCTAATTTGTAGTTTATAAAAGAAATAGAAAACTTACTTGCTGTGCTGTTTACGTTATAAATTACTTAGGGATTGGCAGAACATTCGAGAAGTGCTGAGAAGTACACTCCCTACGCGTCGTTCTTCTCCTTACAAGTTTTTGTGTTCTTTCAATCCCTGCGTGCTTTAGAACTACACACAGCACAGCAAGCAAGTTTTCTATTTCTTCAATACTTCTCGTTTCTGGTTTTGCGACCTGCACATTGGCGTTACCGCTGTGCAGTCTTTGTTTACGTGCGCGCGTTATGCGTTACGTTCGTAACTGTGGTGGCACGGCAAGAATTAGTGCATATTTCTCGTATGTTTGAATTATATAAACTATATTATAACGTTGATTTTGTTAACAAAAAGTAGCATTCTCCGTCCGAATCGTATATCTACCGTCGCGGTAAAGTAGGCTTTGGCGTTTCAATAACAGAGCCATCAAAGCACTTTGATTGACGTGCACTAACAACTACCTAGCCGCGACGAATCCGATTCCCGAGCGTACCAGTCGAACTCAACAGCATGCGCGGAAAAGTCGTTCGCGAGGAAGTAGGTTTTGGAAGACGTCAATCAAAGTGTTTCAAGATATTCCATAAGCACGTGACTTCGAAAAAAGTTATTTTCCGACAATGTCATGGAAGCACTTTGCCGGTCCACCAAAATTGCGATTACTCGCATGCCGTCGAGATCGACTGTAATAATAACGTGCTTTGGAGTTTCTCTCTCAATCACAGACTTAACGTGTATACTAATTGATCTAAGAGCTAGTCTTCAGCGTGACACGTGGTGCTGTGTGTACATTTCCAAGCATTGTAAGTAAAATACCTTTTTCTTCTGATAGATCGCTAATCCATCGAACAGAATGTGCATAGATACGATGGGTAGAGGAATGGGTGGTGCACTTGGTTACTCGCTTTGTCATGGAATGGGAGGAAATCAGGTGAGACAAAATATTGTATAGCGCATGCGCAGTCAATCCAATCTCTTATCTTTGGTTTATTTAGAAATAATCTAGTGTTAAGGCAAAGTGTTCCCATAAATATTGTAGAAAACCGTTTTGAAAAATTTGTAAATAAACGAACATACACACAAAAAAGAAGCAATCAAACATTATAGACAATAACACACGAGATCCCACATGTAGTGCCTGGTTAATTACGAGTCATTTTGTAGAACACTAATCAGTATCTTCGCGCAGTGGCATTACCGTAGCCAGTGAGGTCTATCCGAGGCGCGGTTATTGCTGATTGAAAACTTTTCCCAATATCCCGCAAGACGACTTGAAATACAGTCGGCTTTGCAATTTTTGGAGGCCTAAATAAGGCCACATATTTAAAAAAATAAAATAACTAACAATGGGGAGTATCTATTTACCATTTTCTTGTGAGTGAGTATCCAGATTTTTGCGTTCTTCACTTGATGGTTTTTATGGCTCCCAGCCTATTCCAAATAAATAAAATGCGTGCGTTAAACTTAAAAGAAGAAAAGAAAACATCGCTAACGGTGACCGGTATAGACCCCTTGCAGCTTTTTGGAATGCAGCTCAATCTGGGGGACAAAAAAATAGGTTTCAAYTCTCAGGAGATTGGAATTCTTTCGTTTTGTTCTTCAGATCGAGCAGCTTTGACGTCACATGCAAGGGGTCTTTTATTTAAAAACTTTTTGTTGAAGTTTTCGTTTCTTTTTTTTTCTTTTTTCAGTTGTTTTTCCTGACTGCCAGTGGTCAGTTACAATCAAGTGATGAAGCAAACCCTGTTTGCGTAGAAGCGATGGGTGAAGAAATCCTGTTGATGGGATGCGATACGAACTCTGAATCTGCGCAGTGGACAACCATGGTACGTAATGTTATTCGATAGAAATAGGAAATGTTTTAGTATTCTTTTCTTGCGCGCGAATGACTAGGAGTTGTTTTAGCGTTGTTGCGATGATTGGAAGGATTTTCGCGCAACTTATTCAGAGTATGCAATAATTTTGATTTCAAAGATCAATTTCTCTACTTTTTATTATTTTTTTCCGACTTCCATTTCTCTACCCGAAACAGCTGAAATAACCTTACTACTTCATGTAAGACTACATGAAATGGCACTATTCCGTAATAAAGTTTTAAGGTTAGGGTTTTTTGGGCTTTGGGTTAGGGTTTGGGCTAGTGTTTCAGGACGGAGTGGTTCAAAACGAAGATACTACTATTTTTATGTTCTTATTTTTAGGGTAAGAGTATATACCACAAAGCAAGGAAAAAGTGTCTGGAATCTAATGCAAAAACGGGAACTTTTACACTTAAGACGTGTTTTGGTTCAGCAGCCCAAGAGTGGGTGTTCTCTAACAAGCACAGATGAATCAAGCAGTAAAGAGAATCCCATGAGGCATATTCTTAATGAAATTCAATCTTGTCAACAAAGCAATAGAATTTAGAATTGCAATTCATCTGTTTGTCCTCCAAATTTCTGGGGTTTTAATCAGCTGATAAAAGTCTTTAAATCTCATTATCTGCTTCAAATGGTGGTCAAACACTGACCACAATGTGCTGTCAACCAGAAGGAATTCTTGTGAATCAACTGATCAACATTCTGCATGAGACAAGAATGATCATGTGACATCAAGTGAATCAAAGGCTGCCCTAGCAGAAGTATGACTATGTTTTATATATATTGCATACTTCTATGCATGGACTTTCGTACATTAAACTGACATATTTTGGTGTGAAGCTGGCTGGTTTTACCAAATAAGGCATGTAAAAGCTCATTTGGCAGCGCAAAGCCTGTACATAGAACCTGGTGGTGTAATGTTGTGTATAGAAAAGTAAATAAGATGAAGCTTAGTCATTATAGAAATGGTCCTTATAGGGTGTAACATTTTTCAGCGTTTTTAATGTAAAAATCCTTTTTCTCAGAACTTAGCTCTTTGACAAGAGTATTCAAACAACAGGGTTATAAAAATTTTCTTCAGAATAAATATTATAGTAATTTTTATTTTATTCCAAAAAAAAATAAATTGGGAATCTAAGTATAGATTTTGATTATGAATTTATCTTGGTGTAAGGGGTTTTAAGTTTTAAAAGTCCTATATTCTATTTGACATAATCTTAATATTTTCTTTTTCATGGGAGCATGTGATATCCTACACATACAGGTAGATACCATGTTGGTTGACTTAAACAAAGGATTTTTTAATTTGCTACATCAACCAATTTGGCCATCACAATTTTTGTTCCTTTATTCTCACAGAAAGGAAAGATATCACCTTCAGCTACTGTCTTGTCCTTTCCCTGTTACTCTATTAAGTACCTTTGTCATTCTATTTTATTGACTTCAGATTTTTGTAAACCATCAATCCAGCCTGCATAGAAGAAAAAAGTTAAGGGATCTTGGCTCATTTTAAATATGTTGTTAAAAGATGACATATCATAAATAATGATAACAATAATAATAAAGTCTTTAGCGAAATGATACAGTACATATAACATTGTGAAAACTAAGAGAATAGAAAGTGGAAATATGAAGATTCAAAACACTAAAGATCTATGATAGTACACCTGGAGCAGTACAAATAATATTAACTATTATTAAAAATGTATTTATAAATGTATTCTTGATTGTTGATACTTACAAATGCATCGATTGCAGCATACATGTTGCTCCTTTGACAGAGGTGTTACTTCCCAATTACTGCAGCGAATGTTATGGTCTTTGTTTAGCTGCTGCTTAAACTGAGTGATATCAATGAAGCCATTGTCAACTCATTATATCAATTAGTAAATAATATGAACCCAGATGTTTTGTTTGTAGTGGGTGTTGAATAATGGATAACAACATACTCTTGATGTACCAAAATAATTGTGCTTCTCCATTGGCTATCAAGAGTTTATGGCCAGTCTTGTGATGATCAGCAACTTCTCAACACCATCATATGACTGGGAAATTGCATCTGATGTATGCATGAGAACAAATGACTGACTGACTGACTGACTGACTGACTGACTGACTGACTGACTGACTGACTAACTGA